TATATTATCTTAAAAAACAAAATTTATTAATTAGATAAAATGATTTTTTATTTAAAAATAATGTAAAATTTTCTTTATTAAAAATAAAAATTAGGATGTAATTACATTATTATAATTAATTTTTTTTGTAAAATTAATAATTTTAATAATAAAAAATAAAAAATATTAAAAAATACTTAATTATTTTTAAACATATCTCTATTAGTAATTTAATATTAAAAAACAATCACTAACTATTGTATAATCAAATAATTATATCTATTAAATCCGTTATCTACTATTTACTACTCACTTTCCGTTATTCGTTAACTGTTATCCATTACCCTCTACCGTTATACGCTATCAATTGAATTTTAACTATTATACTAAATAAGTCATAAATCCAAATAATGTATTTTAAAATAAATATCTTTTTAAATATATGTATTTCAAATATATATATTTAAAATATACATTCCAAATACAAATATATGTTCCTAAATACAACCATTATGAATTTCAATAGTTAAAAATATATTATATTTTATAGAATTTCCCAACGTACGCTATATAAAAATTTAATTTTGAATTCACTTACCAATAATATTGTACAAATTATGTTTGCTGGTCTCTAGCTTTTATTTAATTTCTAATATATATTATTAAAAATTATTGTATAAATCTAATTACCATCATTTTAATTATCTTTTCCTGAGTTAATTTTAATGGTGATCAACTATCAAATTCTAATATATAAAAATAACAAAATTTATATTAAATCCATTAAGTTACATTGTAATTATAGTAAACTAAATTAGTTTATAATAAAACTATTAAAACTTGAAATCATAAATTTAAACACTAGAATATCAACTAATAAATAAAAATAATTAAAAAACAAAACAAAACTCCATTTATAAAAATAAAAAACCTTATTCTTTATTAATAAATTTCTTATTACCTCACTTTCTGTTGGTCTCTAAAAATTTTGAAAAAGAGTTAACAAAGGACTCTCAAAACTCCCCAATTATATCTTAAACTTATATTTATAAAATTTTCCATGTTAAGGAACCAACAAGTATTTATAGAGCTTGAAGAAACTCTAATTGTAAAGGAAGTGACACCGGCACTAAAGAAAATAGAATTTCACTCGTACAGGAGCACAAAGCAGGCAAAGGATCGGCACCTAAGATTAACGTGTCGACACGTATAAATAATTTATGGAAGTAACTTCGTGTCGGGATTTTTGCTTTTAAAGCGATTTTGGTTCTTCACTGGTAAAATTGTTTTGGTCCCTCATGCTTCATTGATTGACATTTTGATACTCATAGTTCTTATTTCTTTGATTTGGTCTTGAAAATTATAATTCCTTCCAATTACGTTCTTTTCTACATAAAGAGTAAAAATTATATAAATTTAAGTAAAATTTTATAAAACTCATTCAATTATCAATAGCATCAAGATAAACTTTCCACATTAATATTAATATCTATAAAATCATAACCTATTAATTAGTGAAGTAGATATCTTGATTAGAGATTTCGGGATAACTTAACCAAAAGTCTATTACAGGGACAGAACCAGAAATTTAAGCTAAGGGGCAATTTTTTTTTTTTTGAGTTGTTTAAGTTTCATTTAATTATATTTTGTATAAATCTTTTTTACAATAATTTTTTTATTATAATTAATTAATATTTTATACTTGGTCAAAAAATTAATATTTTATATACTTTACTAATTTTGATTAATATTTTTTATATCTTAAAGATATTAAAAGATTAAAAAACTTATACCTACAATAAAACACTGATAAATAAAGATTTAACAGTTTATATTAATATAATTTATATTGGTTTTTAAATTAATTACTATTTTTATGCATATATTGCTTATATCATTCACAATAATTTTTTTTATTAATTAGATATATTTAACTATTTTTGAATAACATAAAATTTACGATTGTTAAATAAATACTATAAAAATATAATTTTTTTGGTAAAGTTATATATATCAAATAAACTTTGATTTAATAGAATATAAATCATACCAAAAAATATATATATAACTAATTTAAAAACTTATATAAAATTATCTCAAAATAACTAGATCTTAATTATTTTTTATATTTATTCTTATCCAAAAAAATTATCGTTTCTTTATAAAAATAAGTCACAAAAAGAAAAATGATCCCTTTACCTACGTCCTTAATAGTTTTTTATATTTGAATGGTCTCTATTATTCAAATTAACTTTAAACACAGAATTTTTTAGAAAATAAAAATTGATGTACCATGTTTAACACTTTTCAAAAGCTTAGGGGGGACGGTTCCCCCCCCGCCCCCCTTGTCCTACACTAGCTCCGTCCCTGGTCTATCCAATTGGAAGGTTCCTAGCTATTGTTCTTAGGGCTGGCTGTTCAAGCCTTTCTGGTTCTAATTGATCAAACATTTGTACCCATGGGAAAGGGTTCTTGTATCAACAAGAAAACAAGTCACTTCTAATTCAAAGTAACAAAAGTATTTGATGAGTTAATGTAATCATTTATGTTGTGTAGTACAAATAATTAAACTTTAAGACTTCTTTTATGAGCTTCAATGGTCATTAAAATGACTTACATAATACTGTCAAAAATATAAACAACAATAAGAATTCATAGGTCCCTTTCAAAGAAAATATGACATATTTTCTGAATGGAGTGTCATACAATATTGTTTCCACTAGTATGTAAGAAAATGTTGTGAGAAACAATTTCCACAAAGAAAAAGGAACAAGAGATTAGATGAAAAATGAGCACTCACTTACCTCATACAATTAATAAAAACAAAGAAAAGCGCATAATTTTTAAGTAAAAGAGGAGTTTTTAACTAATAAGAGATTATAAAAGGATTCATTACTTAAGCAACATATACATACGAGTTGTTGGGTTAAAGTGACCCAATCATATTTAGTAAATTTGCAATACTATTTGTTAAAGTCCACACCAAATAACAATAGCGCTACTGAATGTGAATGGGATACAAGGAGAACTTTATACTACCTTAACTAACAAATACTCACCTAATGATATAACAATGTAAGAAAGGAAAGACTAAGCAATAGAAGTCTACTAAAAATGAATGCTTGCTCACTGACAATGATACCCTTACCCACATTGTAATAACGGCTTAATTTAATTTTTAGTCTATTAACTATTACCTTGATTTCATTTTAGTTTAGAAACTATGTTTTGTTTCTAAGTGGTCTATTAACTTTCAGATTTATTTCAATTTCGTCTATTTGGTCAAAGATAACGGAAAACTTCTTATTCTGTTAGAGAATAGTTAGTCCTCTAACTATATTTTTTTGATCTTTTAGTCCTTAAATTTATATTTGTTATAAAAATAATTTTTTTACTTAAAATTTTTATTTACAGGCTCTGATACCAGATTTTTATACGAGTTTTCCTATTTCTTTAATTTGGTATCAGAGCCTGAAAGTTAATAGACCACTTAGAAATAATAATTTTAAGTATAAAAATCTGGTATCAGAGCCTAAAAATAATAATTTTAAGTATAAAATTTATTTTTATAACAAATATAAATTTGAGGACTAAAAGATAAAAAAAACATAGTTAGAGGACTAACTGTTCTCTAACATAATATGAAGTTTTCCGTTATCTTTGACCAAGTAGATGAAATTGAAATGAATCTAAAAGTTAATAGACCACTTAGAAATAAAACATAGTTTCTAGACTAAAATGAAATCAAGGCGATAGTTAATAGACTAAAAATTGAATTAAACCTTGTAATAACTGAATAAGTACTAAACTAAAATGATTGTAATAACTCATTGAGTATTGACCAACGCAAACTATGCAGTTAGATTAGGGAAATGATTTTAGCTTCGCCAGTACTCTAAATTTGCCACAACTTGATGTCTTCATCCAATGCAATGCATGCAAAATTTTCCAAGAATAAAATGATTAAAGTAGTAGATGTAGAAAATGTGATAAATCTAAATAAATAAATAAAAACATTTGAAAATTTAGATCCTAATTGAATATTTTTAATCTTGAATTTGCAAAGGATTCATTGGGCAACCATAATACAGGAGATGAATTTGTTATGAGACCGAGATTAAATACAATGGACAGGCTGCATATTCTCATCTTTGATTAAAACTTGCATTTTCACCAAAACCATAGTCCTCGCAATCAAAAGAGAAATAAAAAGGTTTCAACTTAAATTAAACGGAGTAGAAATAAAAGTTGGGGCAGAACATTAGACTTTTATTGAGCCTAATGTAAGTGAAAAAATATTAAACAATAATATTAATAAATGGCACTTTTTATATTTTGACTCAAAATATTTATAAGTATAGATAATTGAATAAAAAATTAAAATAAAAAGATATAATGATAATTACATATACAAATAATGATTAAAATAAAATAACATGGATAACTTTTTATATAATATAATGGTAGCACACTATTGCTAAGGATTTCGGATTAAATTAAATGGAATACAAATAAGACTAGGACCAGAACATTAGGTTTTTATTGGGCCGGACACGGGTTATGATTTGAGGCCTACAAGTAATAGGGTCAAGTTTAACAATGTCTATTACCATGCTCCTTTTTTGTGGGCCTAAAGGATATGTCCTTTCTTTGCTAATTTTTTTCTGAGGCCCAGATTAGGGCCTGTGCCCAACCCTGGGCCTTCTATCGTCCGCCCCTCGGAGAGGGTCTCTCGTGCAGTCTTTGTTTTATATTGGTCTGCTATTTTATCAATAAAAAATTAATTGAATTGTTGAATTCAATTAAACTTTTATTTAAGATAAAAGATAAAAATTAAAAATTTATATTGTTCAATAAATATATATAAAAAAATACCTAATTCATTGAATCGAGTGATTCTTGTTACTTCCAAGGCATAATTCCCTCCGCCAATTGAGGCTGAATTCGAGCCCATCATACCTCGTTAAAATATATATATATATAAAAAAAAGTGTTTCTCAACCTTACTTCTTAAAGATTAAAAAAAAAATTATTTTAAAATTACGTTATTTCAATAAATTTTTATTAAAAAAAATTAAATTATTTTATTTTTAAAACATACATTAAGGTAATTTTTGTTTTTTTTCTCTTAATTTTTTAAAAGTAAGACGGACAAGCACTAATCTCGTATATAGACGAACAAGCACTAACCCCGTATATAGACGGATAAGCACTAATCTCATATATATATATATATATATATATAGGGTTAATGGTTATCTGTCTTATTTTTAAAAAATTAAAAAAAAAAGATAAAAATCACCTTAATACATATTTTAAATTTTTTTTAATAAAAATTTATTAAAATGATGTAATTTTAAAATAATTTTTTTTCTAATTTTTAAGAAGCGAAGGTAACCAACACTTTTTCCTGTATATAATTAGTGTGCAATCTGTAAATTTCATATACAGCTGTCATTTTGGATTCTTCCGTTTATAATATGGCAAATTGTGTGATGCCATTTTATCTAGAGGACTGATAGCTGCAGTCGCTTTAAACACCTGCTCTTTAACACCGGCGTTCTCATTTTGCCACGTCATTTACACGTTTAAAGATGTACCGATAACCGAACTCAGCAGTCACTAACTAAATGACAAATTATAATACAAACCAAAGCAATTTTACTTTTCTTCAATTTGCCCAGATCCAATTTTATACGATAGCTTGAAAACCCCCAACTTTAATCTGCAAAAGCAAAACCACTTGATCTTTGTTAGTTCCCTTTGCTATTCGCAGGGGTGGCACAAGGAGGGCAAGGGCAAGCTACTTTTCATTTGGCATCGATAAAGCGGCAATAGCACCGGGATAGAGTTGGGTTAAAAATAGAAGGAAAAACGGAAGGTTTTTTTGGTTGTTGTGTTGCATGATTTAAGGGCTCCTTTAGTCCTTCGTTTGCTGCTTTCTTTGGGTAAAAGGGTTGTTCTTTTCTTCAACTTCTCCGTTTTTGTCTGCCCCCATGCTCGTCGACCTCAAAAGTTTTGTATTATAATTTTATTAAATTGATCAAAAAATTAAAATTGTAAAAATTTAGTAATGTTAATTATTTATAGCCCCTCCTCTCAAACATCAAGACAAGATCTGATTTATTTGTGAGAATATTTTTCTTTTTGAATGATCCGATGATACTTAAAAAAAAAAAAAAAACCTGAAATCTAATCATAGAAAAATTATTCTTTTATTTAATTTGACCCCAAGAAAAAAGGAGAAAATTATTTTGGTTATGACTAAAGAATGAAAAACCCTAGAGAGAGACAGAGTTGCTGCAACTGCTAGCTTAAGGGAGAAACATGAAGTAGAGCAGCAGTAAAAAATAGGGAAAAGAGAGCCAGAAGACCAGAACCCAGAAGAAACAGAGGCGTTCATAGGTTTAGGAAAAGAGAGAAACTCCGGAAAGAAGGTTGGCATTTGTGAAGAGATGGATTTGAGCTTCTGGAAAGAAAGAGATGGTGAACTAGTGATTGATGAAGGGAAAACTAGACAACCATGGTAAACAGGCAAATTCAGAGATCGGAGGAGGTAAAGTGGGAGATAATTGGTTGAGGCTTCCTTTTAGTTATAGTTTTTCCTTTTTTTATTTTACTAACTTTGCAGTTTCAATTTTTGTCTTTTAGCAAGTGAACTTTAGAGAACGGTTTCCGGTTAACCTTGAAAAGCAAAAATGAAGTGGCAAAGTGAGAAAGCGGGTGTTCAAGGGCGGGTGTTCAAAGCGACTGTAGCTAGCATTACTCTTTTATCTAACCACCTACTGCACCAATATTTCTACATTGACTCGCCGACACCGGGGTCTTCCCCCCTTTATTAAAACGCACCAAAGATCCATGATTACAACTACTGTTGCTGACTGTTGGATGCTTTATTGCTCTCTGCATTTCAACTTTGGATTCTATTCTACCTACTTTTTTCTTTTTCTTTTTCTTTTTCATTTTTTAATTTGTCCTGCTTTCCTCGCAGCTTCCGACCGTAAAGAAAAAGATGCCCGAAACAAAACTCCTGTGCGTCAACAATTCTCCATTGACTATTTGACTTGCCTCCAGAAAAATATAGGCCTTCCTTTTCTATACTCAATAAGCGATGCACTCCTCAGTTTTTCTTTGCTTATTCTCTTTGCAGCTTCCTCAGTCTAGCTACAGGCTATAGGTATGTTGTCCACTGATGATGTTTATATTTTTTGTTTGTTGTTGTTGTTAATGAAATGAAATTATAGCTGATCGATCTACCTTTGTTAATTATTTTCTAATCTGTTATGGTTATTGTTATGTGTTTGTTCAGATCCGCTTCCAATCTTGTGTTTCTTTTGCTTTGCCTTTACACTTCTCACCCTGTTCCTCGCTTATTCTCAACTTCCTTAGTTTACGGTATGTCATCTACTGTTAAGCTTTTTTTTTTCCCGTTGTTGTTGTTGTTGTTGTTGTTGATGCTAATCTCTATCCGTAATGGTTATTGTTATGTGTTTGTTCAGATCTTCGTCCGGCTCCATTCTTGTACTTCTTTGCTCTGCCTCCAGCTCCACATATTTTCAACATCCTTAACTCATTTCGTCACTTGATCTGTAGGTATATACTACTTTTTATACTACTGTTATCTGTTTTTCTCTCTTGGACGTAGAAAGGTTTAATTTCTAGTTGAATCTCTACTAAGCATATGCATACTTGATTTGTCTTTCACCATGACAAAAGTGTTTTTTCGTTACATAATATGACAAATATGTATTAGTTTCGTATGTTAAACAATTCAATTTTAACTAAGTTCGTTCCCATGGATTCACTTGTGTATGATGGACAATCCTTGACACATGCAGAATCAATGTAATACATACAAAAAGAGCATAAGATAATCAAATAAGTTGGTTTAGATAACCCAATATAAGGCAACGAATCCACCAAATCGGTAAATATGTGTCAGAAGGAGGACTAAAGATTGTTTACTTATTTATGTCTTTTTCTTTATTTGAAGCAAACAAAAAACTTAAGTACCTCAACTGGTGTCACATTTCAGGAATTTTCTTCATGGCGGAAATTCCAATACTAATTCTTGAATTCATAAAGTGTGTGGCACCTCCAACACGAAGTTGTGTAGACAATCACAGAAACTTCAAAGAAAATGCAAAAGATTTGGAAGACAAATTGAGCACTCTTAATTGCAGAAAACAAGATGTAGAAACACAACTTCAAACCGAAACACAACTTCAAACCGAGGATTACTTAGAAAAAGAGGCCAAAGAAGAAGTGAAGAAATGGCTTCAAGATGTAGAGAAGATCAATGCTGAAATTCAGGGTGTTTTAGAAAGGCTGCACAAAGCTTCATGCTTCTCACGAGCTCGCCTTGGAAAACTTGCTCATAAAAAAATTGATGAACTAAATGCAATTATTCAACAAGGTAGTTTTCCTCAAGGACTGGTAGTTAATAAGCCTGCAACTGCTTTGCCTTTCCCGGTAGAGAATCTAGAAGGTGAGGTTTCTGTGAAGGAAAGGATATGGGGATACTTGATAGGCAATGAAGTCCAAATGATTGGAGTTTGTGGCATCGGGGGTGTTGGGAAGACCACCATTATGAAGCATATCCATAATGAATTATTAAAGGGGTCAAAATTTGATAAAGTGATTTGGGTCACTGTCTCATATCCACTCAATGTTGTGAGATTACAGCATGAAATTGCAAAGGCAATGAAAGAAAAACTGCTAGAGGATGATCATGATGAGCAAAGACAGTCTTCAAGATTAATGCATCTTATGGAAAAAGGGAAATATGTGTTGATTTTAGATGATGTGTGGGAAAGGTTCACTCTGGAGAGTGTTGGAATTCCGCCACCAACATTGGAAAATGAGTGCAAGCTAGTTATTACCAGTAGAGAGGTGGATGTCTGCAATTTCTTGGGTTGTAAAGTCGTTAAAGTGCAACCTCTTTCCAAGCAAGAGTCTTTGAATTTGTTCTTAGATAAGGTGGGCAGGGAAATTCTACAAATTCCAGAATTGGAAGCAATTTTGAATCTTATGGTGGACGAGTGTGCTGGACTTCCTTTGGCAATTGTTGTAATAGCTGGAAGCATGAAAGGAGTAACTGATGTTCACCAGTGGAGGCATGCTTTAAATGAATTACGTGATCGCCTAAAGGATACAACCAAAGGTTCAGGAGATGAGATATTTGAGCGGTTGAAGTTCAGCTATGATCGTTTGCAAGATTCAAATATCCAAAATTGTTTCTTATCTTGCGCACTATATGCTGAAGACTATCAAATTAGAAGAGATGATCTGGTCGAACAATGGATTGATGAGGGACTTATTGAAGAATCAAGGAGTAGACGAGCAATGCTTGATAAAGGACGAACCATATTAAACAGGCTTGAAAACAG